TTTGGAAAAAAATATCGCGAAAAATTCGAAAGTACTCACTTTTTTCTGGCATTTCGTCGGGTTCAAATATTGGTCATTTTTGGAGTTAATTCATTTATCTCCACTGGAAAGTGGAAAAATTTTAGCGCTTTTCTACCATCAAATGAACTATATTTACTCTTGCTGAATAGTGCAAAAGACCTGCAATCGCCTTTTGCTTTAAAGTTTCATTTGACAAGGGCCGCGACGATCATTGAAGTTTGCAATCGAATTTCTCGGCTCAGAATCGTATTTTGTTCAAGAAGCATTTTATAGCACAAATTTTCATAATCCTTATGCATACTTTTTATAATCAATCCGCCTATTCCTCATGGATTTAGGTCGAAAAGAGTGAAAAGCAAACATTTTGGGATTTAGTCTCTTTCATTTAGTTCAGAACTTTGGAATGAACGGGGATGTACGAAAGCGAAGGACCAAATAAGAAACTAGAAAAAACGCTCTTTCAGGCAGCATAAAAAGTTTTTTAAAAAAATGATTACATCTCAAATACCAGCTCTTGAAAGAAGAGGTGAAAAAAACGTGCATTAATTATGAATAAACCTAATAGATATCGAGGATATCACGCTTTCCTTGGCCTGATATCGCACTCCAGAGCGACGAGGTGCGAGAAAACCCCTCGGCAAGAAATTTAGCCGACGAGCGTAACTACTGTACTATGTGCAGCGGCTTTGCCGGCAACTCTGGCGGCTGTCTGCGGTAGCAGTCGGCTGCCTGGGTACCATTTACTACGCGCCTTACGTACAAAATCCTGTAGTATAGAATGACTTGGATAAAACGGCCCATCACTGTTCAAAATGAGAGTACGATAAACGAAAACAAGAGGATTTCTCAGTTTTTGGTCGAGAAAAAATACAGCAACTGTAAATATGAATGTCTTGTGTGAATAGAACAGACGTGTGCGATTGGAAGTTGCGCCCCTTGGGCTAATTTTTAGAGTGGAAACCTTTGGGCTAATTTTTAACTTCAGGTGGACAAACTCGGCTTCGAAACATCACTACCCGTTTGTAGCTTCCTTAGCTCTGTCAAACAGTGCCCCACATGCGTTTTTGGAGCTCGCTTGGTTGCTGTGCCATTGCAAGCGAATAAAACGCAACATTGTTTTCTTGACAACCTAATTTCTAACAAAACATAAAAAATACCCTTCAAGCTCTTTCAAGTTGTAGTCAGCTTGAGAGAAGCAAGTACAAAAGAGTGACGCTTACATAGCTCCTACTAAACACTAACACTACAGTCTAATGCATTTCTATGCTACCTCCTAAATTTATGTAATCTGATCCGCGATTCCATATACATCACCGCACTGATTCTTTGTTGTAGGTTGTCCGGAAATTAATGTCCGTTTTGAATTTCAACCGCAATAACTCATACATTCTTCATTCCTGAATAGGCTTCAAGATACCATTCGATAGAGCAAAGCAAGCTCTACAAATTGGCGTTTTGCTTTAGCGACAGCTTTGTTCCACCTCCAGTTTTGAGCCAAAAACTAGAAAGATTCAAATGCCCGAAAAATCGAGAAAAATCATAACTCAGTTCAAAAGGATCCTACAAAAATTCTAACTTGCTCACGTAACCACTATCCACATGAGACGTATATGTATGCCGTTGCCGTATTTTTTCCTCTGTTAGAAATCAAAAAATCGAAAATTTCCGTGCTTTTGCCAAAGTGATGCTGTGTCGTCCTTACATAAGTAGATGTATACTACAAACCTGTAGAAGTGCAAATGTAAATTTCCAGCTCTCTACAAGCTTTAGTTCTCGAGAATTTTGAATTTTAGCTTGGACTGCCTGATAATGAAAGCTATATTCGACATTTATCGAGAACTAAAGCTTGTAGAGAGCTGGAAATTTACGTTTGCACTTCTACGGGTTTGTAGTATACATCTACTTATGTGGGGACGACACAGCATCACTTTGGCAAAAGCACGGAAATTTTCGATTATTTGATTTCTAACAGAGGAAAAAATACAACAACGGCGTACATATATGTCTTATATGGATAGCGGTTACGTGAGCAAGTTAGAATTTTTGTAGGATCCTTTTGAACTGAGTTTTGATTTTTCTCGATTTTTCGGGCATTTGAATCTTTCTAGTTTTCGGCTCGAAACTGGAGATGGAACAAAGCTGTCACTAAAGCAAAACGCCAATTTGTAGAGCTTGCTTTGCTCTATCGAAAGATTTCTTGAAGCCTATTTAGAAATGAGAGTTGTACGAATTATTGCTTTTGAAAACGAAAACGGACATTAATTTCCGGACAACCTAATATTATCTATTTCAACGCATATCCAGTGCCTTTCACTGATTCTCTGTTATAGCATCATCTCATTGCACATTAAATGCCTCTAATATAATTCAAACTTTGCTGGTGCTCATCTATTCTTAGTGATAACTGCATTAATGCCTTTTGATCTAAAGCATACGATGCTCTTGGATAAATCATGCATATGTATATGTTGCCATTCGCATACCTATCTTAATGTAGATTTGGTATACACTTGTGATCAAAATTTGCCATAGCATTTCTTTCGTCCGCCCCATATCTATACCTCCAAGTGCCGTAACTTCTATTCCACTGTTAATTGTTATCGTTATAGTGAATAAGTACGACAATTATAGCGTTGTAGTGTTAGCATAAAACAAAACTCAAACGATGGAGGTTTTCAGCCGGCGGCAACAAAGCCACCGCCAAACCCCGCCAAAAGCTCCGTGCCTTATAGCGCCACTTTCTCGTCGCGCTGGAGTCCTTCTAGCAATCCATTTGCTTATCTTTATTACCTGAATAGTTTTTCGTTATGCTGAATGTTGCATGCATCAATATCCCTTCTGGAAAACAGAAAGCATTTTGAAAGAAAAATCTTATATTCTAAAGCTCCAGCGTTCTGAGTTCCATGCCGTATAATAATCCGCAAGTATTTTCACTACGCTTCACTATTAACATATTGAACAGGAGCGAGAAGTTGCACAAGCCGCATTCCTCCCTTACCATGATCACTTAATGATCGCCAGCGGATAAAAATCTTCCTTCAAAATTATTTATTTTCTTCAAAGTCAAAGAAAACATTCGAAATGTACTGATCACCTAATCCAAAGGTGGTAAGCATGTTTCTGATGAAAAGAATGAGTTATTGAAGCACCAATGCGTCACCTCTGCTTCGCAGAGGCTCGGGCTTATCTAGGCCCTATACTCATTCTCGCATAATGATGGCATTGGAACTCACCCAGCAATGCTGATTATCACGAACAGAATATAAAATTACTCATTCCTAAAGCAATTTTATGTTAAATCGGTGACTTCGCGTGGATGAGACTTTTTGCACGAAAACAAACGCAAATTTTTATAGGTTTTTGATTTTCCCATGGTCTTGACATTGCAATAAGAACAGCAGTCATTGTGAGCTACATCTTTGTGCAAAAATCTCGTCAAATGCTCTGGTACAACCTTGGCAAGTTGACCATTTACGAAACCAATACTTTTGGCGCCGTTTTTGTAAAGTAATGGACTTTTGATCACTCTCTTGCGCCTAAGTTCATGGCTTGCACATCTACTTGGCACATCCACGACTCTGCAAAAAAGTGGAATTACGGACCCAGATTTGCGGTTCAAATGCAAAGCGGTTACATTTGAGGCGCAGTTTCTGAGGAATCTACTCAACGTGTTCTGCTCGTGTTTTTGCATGTTGGACTTTCGAGCGGGTACCATGCGCTGTGCAAAATTTGAGCCCGGGAGGTTGGCTGGGACGTGCTCTACGAATTTCGTAACAGACACACTCACACACACACACACACACACACACACACACACACACACACACACACACACACACACACACACACACACACACACACACACCTCATAATTCCCGTCCGCACGTTCCACAAATAAGAAAGGCAGATTTGAAATCAGCGTTTTATGCTCTTCAATATGGTATACATCCAATCTAAAAAAGCGACTTCGACTAAACATGAACTTGTTACTGTAACAAGGTTCAGACAAAAATCGACTGAGAGCCTGAGCAAGGGATTTTGTAAACGCTATCAAATTCGATCAAGTGCTCGGTTAATAGGGCAGTTATTTGACATCGGAACTTACGGCGTTTACGAAATACGCTCGAGACCCGCTTTGAGATGATGGTATACCAAAGAACGTAACGTTTTTGTATTTTACAGGCACAAGGCAAAGAGAGTAATGCCAAGTTAAGAGTTGCTTGGAACATATTAGATTGCAGAATTGCTATTAAAGATGAGGCAACGTTAAACGTAAATATATATAAAAACCGCATATACGTTATAGAGAGAGGAATGATACTTAATTCCAATCCACCGTTTCGTTCGTATTTTGCCTGCACATCTAGCCAACGCGCATCAACAGGGTTTCGCAAAAGCAACGATGACTACTCTAGCGGACAACGACAGGGGATAAAGCTGTCAGCCATATTATAGCGTTACGAATCAAGCAAAAGCGTTACGAATCAATCATAGCATTAAGCGACCCGCTCGAAAAAAACCTTGCGAACCTCTCCATTGTTTTTCGGTCTCTGCCAGATTGACGGTATCGCTGCCTCGTCGTCGCCTTTTGGCTGCTTTTGTAGTAATAAAGGCCCTCTGCAGTTACTTTCCGAATCATGGAAGATTATGGTTGCCCGCTGATAGCCCGTCGCTGGTCGCTCACTGCCATTTTTGCAGCATCGTCGTCCGCTCACTGAAAGTGCTATTTATCGCCACCTCACCATAACCTTTAATTGTCTGACGCATCATGCGTTACAAGCTAGTTTTGAGGCAAACCTGTGAATACCTCGCCATAGTCTCGCGAGATAATCGACCTGTCACAGCATTGTCTCTCTGTGACGACGGGAGGTTTACGACGGGCCCTTATTTACTCTTACATGAGCTAATTCAACCATAGTCCAGATTTCCGCAGTTGCTTTGACGGCTTCGCTATGGTTAAGATGTAAATGTGAAGTCATTTAGCAATCAAAGAACATAAGATGCGTTAGAAAGTGTTCAGGAAGTACTGTTGGTTGCGGAAGTGTTAGCAAACATTGACTCACAATCGAGATTCCTTTCTTGGCAAAACTAAGCACTTGAAAGTTTTCAAAGTATGCAGCGAAACCTTCATTGAGCCAAAGTTCTTCCCACCAGCTCAGCGTTACCAAATTACCAAACCACTGAAAACATCAGTTTTATCCTAGAAACGCATCTGAAATTTCACGTCAATATACGATATGCTCTTTGAAAAGCAGCTTTCTCAGTCACCTTGTCCCCATAAATTACTTAACAAATGGAGCTTGATATTGCAACCCTGTGATATCGTATGAAAAGCAGCGATAGATGAGAAAGTAGCATAACCGCCCCGTTTTGTGCTTCCAGGAAATATATTTATCTGGGTTCGAGTCTAAAGTACTCAATAAAAGGTGGTGAGAAAGATTTGAAGCCTCTTAACTTCTGTAATTTTGCATGCATACAATACCACCATGTAGGCTCACCATGCACAAGGACGAACCGTTTCAATAAGCGGATCCTTTAAAATTTGCGCCTTAAACGGGTCCTCCTAGCTTTTGGCGCGCAAAACTAGGTCATAAATTCAAAATTCTGTAATCCTGATTTACCTGACAAGCATATCCGCGCTTCAAGAATTCGAACTCGAAAAGTGCTCAAAAGTTTGCTTTTCTGTAGAAACAGCGCCAAAAAGTAGTAATCGCGTAGAGAGTCGATTTGGCAATGTTGATTTTTGCACGGAAATGTAGCCCAAAATGACTTTTATCTTCATAACAATTATCAAGCCAAAATAAATTCAATAATTTTTTCAAATTCGCATTTATTCTTAGGCAAAAAAGTTTTCTTTCTCCAAATTACCTATTTTACATGGAGTGCTTCAAGAATGAACAGTTGTTTACACTTCATTTATGATGTACAACCTCGCGCGGTGAGTTTTAAAGTCATCACTGTGGAATCATGAATAAGGCATAGGCCCCGGTCAGACTTCACGCGACTTAATCGTCGCGATCTAATCGCCAAGATTTCCATTCATTCTCATTTCACATTCAAAAATTTCGGGCTGTTAAAGTATCACAACCGAAATGCAAGTTGATCGGCATGGAATGATGTTGTAACAGTTGTCTTGTCGCGATTCAGTCGCGACGATCAAATCGCGTGAAGTCTGCCCGGGGCCATACGGAGACTCGCACTGACCCTACTCTATATGCCTTACTTATTCTCGCCTAAGGATGGCTTTGAAACTCCCCGCGCAATGCCGACTACCACGAATAAAATGTAAATAACTACTCATTCTAAAAGCTTTTTCATGTGAGATAGGTGATTTTGCAGAGATATAAGTTTTCGCAGAAGAAGAACTTTTCGCAATTGCCGTAAGGATTTTCATTACCGTGAGCTATATCTCTATGCAAAAATCTTCTCAAAAGCTCAGGTAAAACCACGGCGAATTGACCATTTACGCAACCATATTCTTTTTCGCTCGTTTTCATAAATACTAGATCTTTGGTCACTTTTTGGTCTTAAGCCCATGGCTTGCACATAAACATGCCAAACACATCCACGACATTGCATAAAGCGTTGATACGGACCCAATTTTGCGAGCCAGAAGTAAAGTGGATACGTCTGACGCGCGCAAATTCTGAGGGAACCACCCAACAAATCCACTCGTGTTTTTTGCATGATGGAGCTTTACGCTGGTAACATGCGCTTTGCAAAATTTGGGCTCAGAACGTTGGCTGGAACTCGATATATTAATTTCGTTATAGACAGGACACAGACACACACACAAAAACACGTAAACAACTTTAGCCCGTTACTATAAGTTATGATATAGATTCATCGTACAATTCAGAAGCACATAAGGTTTACAGCCTTTATGAGAAACGATATTAATGATTTTTACGCTACATGGACACTACATTTTCAGCACTTTCTGTAAATTTTGGTAGGTAGAAATTTGCAAAACCTGGTGTGCAAGCTCATGTGCGACAACAGTTTCGATTTGTCTTCGCCTTTCATGCTGCTCTATTTTGAATTCTAGCGGATCCAGATGGGAATTTTGCGATGAATCCAACAAGACGACTTTTCTGAAGAATAGTCACTTTTTAAAGTTTGTTGAAGGTTGAAACTTTAATTAACATAATTAACACCAACTTGAAGGTAATCAATCCCCAATTTTCCATTGCACCTGCTCCAAACTTTTCCAACGCGACTAGATCTGCAAAGCAAAGTTCATAATGCAAAGACGAGCTGAAGGAATGATAGCATATGAGTCCATGACTTGCCCCCAAGTGTAATGTCCGTCTATAATATACTACAAAAAAAAATTGAGATTGCAACTTTCCTTGGTCGAGAAATCATTCTTACTGACTTTGCCCGAAAATCAAGCGCTTCCAAATGGAGTGATTTTTGAATATTCGGTAAACTATTATAGAAAATAAAAAATCGGAGAAACATGAGCAGAGAAGTGATTCATTGAAAACTATCTTTACTTATTTGAACACTTTATAAAATGGATCCATATCATTAGCTGCCATAAGATGCAGAAAACTGCGAATGTTTTTGAATTTTTTGCCAGACATGGACATTTCATGAGACACCTATAAAATGTATTGTTTGGCAAATGGCAAACTATATGGAACCGAGATGAAACTAAATTATAAAGCTCACGTTTCTTAACTTCGGTACTACAAAATCACTTTTATCAAAAGTACCAAAATCACCTACCTTGCTTTGACATGACATCATTCACTCCGAAGTACTTTTCAAAGGACTCCATGACAGTCGTAGCTACTTTGAGTCCGTACTCTCTCTGCGATTCTGTACCAGGAGCTGACCACAAACGGAACTAGTACAAAATGAAAAACATGTTTGAATTGAGCAGCTCCAAGCTTATGCAACATCTCACTTTTACTCCTCTGTTTGTTTGCATTTCGTTATATGTAAATTCAGACACTAAAAGAGCGAGAAGATACGTTGGCATAATAGGAGTCGGCTCAAACGTAGATATTGTCCAATATCCGCCTTGTTGACTAAATTTCAGATTAGTTACGATGCACTAACTGTTAACAAGCGGAAAGCCCCGAAATGCGCGTTACTACGGATTCATCTATGCATTATGCCTGGCTTACGTAGCATGAACACGAGGAATGATATCCACGGAAGTCCATACTGGAGGAAAATAAACTTTAAACCCCATTTTATTCGTTCGTGGTGAAACTTGCTCGAAATCTGCTTTCGCCCTGCGTTATCCATAATTTTCTAGCCTATCGCAACCACTTGGCAAAACGGTGTAATGAAAGTGATTTCAACCTTGAGTGAGCTCTCATTTGCGAAAAAAAATTATGCGAGAAGTCCATTTAGAATGGGGCGAAATGGGATTAACCTCCATTTTAAATTGATTTGAAAGCTCACCTCACTCCCAGCAGCAAGGTGAGCTGGAACTAAGCCCATCTTTGACCTTTTTGCACATTTTTGATTGCGACTGAAAATGTTCTTAGCCCATTTTGTGATAAAAGTAGGTGGAAAAAGTGTTTCATATTTTCTATAAAATCTGAAATAAATGTTTCTTCCAAACTCATACAGACGCTTAAATCATGAAGGTTAATTTCATCAAGATATTTACTAACAAACTTAAATGCTTACAAATGTCAGGCCGATGCAAAAATTTCTATGTAAGTCAAATAAAGTTCGCTAACTTTCTTTTTGAACCATCAATCAAAACTAAACATACCTTGTATTTTGAAATAAAAAAGAGTTGCATTTAAAAAAGTTGCTCTGGCTACCTTTTGACTAACATCGTAGAACAGACCCCCAAAGATGGCTCTTCAGTTTCGCGAATTTGAGTTTGGTCGCAAGAAATGCTGGAGTGTCACTAGCACACCAGAAGAATTCTGCATATCTTACTAGCAATAATTTATACATTAATCAGGCCTTAATCTCGTACGAAAATATAAAAAATCACAGTCATATTATAGAAAAGCTCCTTAGAACTGCAATTTGTCACCAAAAACACTCTTTGATGCCTAAATCTCCCACTGCCTTCTTAGGTAGTTTAGGACAAAAGGTTTAGACCTGTATTCATATAAATAAAATGAGGTGACGAGAGTATTTGTCTTGTATAACGAAGTCTATCACAACTTTTTGTTTATGTGTCTCCCTGAGATATGGACTACTACGGTAACGTATAGCCTGTGATGTAAAACTGATACAGATTTTGAAACTTCAATTTTACAAAATGAAAAAGAAGAGAGTATCCACGTAACTGATTGTAAAGGTAGATCAGAGTTAGACATCGATTATTTGGTAGGATTGAGTTTGCAAGAGTGGGACAGGTTGAGACAAGCTGGAGGAAGGTTTGCTGAAGCATTTTTGTATGGAATGAATGGATTCGCGAATGCGATATCTTATCGCACCGCATGGACTAAGGCCATTTTATTCGCACGAAAAGCCCACTTCGCGAAAACTTCGTGGATATTATTCCAAGTCAGAAGAAGGGCACTGTCTCTTCTTGTTACCGAATCGGGAACACATAGATTGTGTGTTGTGTGTGTGTTTGGAGGGCGGCAAGCCAGTATCCTCAGCTCAAATTTTGCATAGCGGCGCTGTCAGCATGGAAGTCCATGGTGCAAAAGCACGAGCGGATTTAATGGGCGTAATGCGCTGGCTCGAAACGGGCATGTTTCTTCACTTTCGCAAAAAATATTGACTTATGTCACATGCAATTCTGTCAATCGAAAGCTCCCCTGCAAAAAATCCCAAAGAGTCTATATTCGCACGGGAACGGCGCAAAATAGAGTGTAAATCCTCGATTGTCAAAGTTTTCACCCAACGAATGAAAATTATCGCTCAAAAATTTCGCATTAGTCATTGTTTCTACGGCAAGCAGTCCTTAGTCATCTTGAAAATTCATTTATTTTTCAACAAGAAACTTCCTTTTGTTTAAGCTACCAAATTCTTATGTTGGAGCATTTGGAATAAGCTGTTTTATCGTTTAATGATATTTGACGTCGTCCGGTTTGAATCATTGATAGCTAGATGCATGAGGAAAGCAAAACTTCGTATGCGCGGCAACTGGCTCCCCCACGCATAAAATTCGTCCTCACAACAGAAATCGCCACAGATGTTTTCTCTCCCTTTTTCCCTTGCCCTATATCCCCCCCCCCACTCCGCCAGGAGCTAAGCACGTTCCTATAAAAGGGCTACGAGGTACTCTGGCGCAACACTCTTTGCCGCCTTAAAAATCTTTGGCGTACACTTAATCTGACGGCACATAATGTTTTGCCGTGACAAAGTGCGAGCATATTAACAAGAAGAAAAGATGTTAAATTGCGAAAATGGACTCAAAGAAATACTCAGGCAATCACCGGGGGAGGCGGCCTTGCGATTTTTGGGGAAGCGGGCACCGGAAAAAATAGTCCGCTGATTTCTTGCAGTCCGCTTGCACAAATTTGGGAGAATCTCTGCAATTTTTGGGCGAATGCTCGGAGAACAATCGCGGTTCCCTTACAGATTAGCTGCGGCGCAGTGGCCGCATTCTCGCGGACTTTCCGCGAAAATATGCAAAATTTTCGAGGGCCGCACGGTCCTTTGTGGAGGACCGCGCGGCCCTCAACAATTTTGCACAGCTGGTAGGTACCTTCCGCTAAAAGAAATTACCCCGCATCTTCCGTTAGAGAGTAGTATTCCACCTCTGCCACATAGAGTCCCACCTTTGCTCGGCGTACGCTTGAAACTGCGTAAAAAGAGTCGAAGCGCCTGATGAAAGTTCGGCCAGCGCTTGTTAAAAACGATTACTTGAAGAGCACTTGCAGAAAATTTTGTATTGCTGCTCGCTGGCAAAACAGGGAAGTACCGCTCGCTGAAGGCTTGGCTTGAATTTTGTTGACCGCTTGCAGAGCGCGAGTGTGCTGACCAATTGCCCTGGCGATTATCTGAGTAGTTGCATAAACCACTGACTTGCTACCCAACAAAGGTTTAGTTCTTGAAAAATCCATACGTGTGTTGCTCTTAAGAAATATAATTAAGACTGTTTTTATTTTTTGCTGAAAGTTTGCCGTTTAATACCGCTTCAACATGGCAACTCTTTAAAAAAAATAATTCATTCATGTGGTCGGCATTGACCATTTAATGCAAAGCAGATTTTTCTAAGAAGAGCATGGAAGGCATATGGATGGTGAAGCTGATGCTATTCTCTGCAAGGCAGAGGTGACGGACGTACTCTATATGCCAACCATCAAAGCTCCTTATGAAACATTAAAAACGTAGTTTTAAGCACTTCCACATGATTTCAACGACCAGTGACTTCCACGTTACTATTGTTATCGGGCACTTCCTTAACCGAATTTGAATATGATGTACAATCCCACATTCTGAAAAGCCTTAAAATTGTCTTTGAAGCCCTAGTTTGGCAGAAGGGACGAGTGCTTCAGCAAAGTCACGTCGTATGCAAGAAACCTCGTCGCATGCAATAGTGCCACCTCACATAGTACAGGCGTCTCGAAGTTGATTGCCGTGTAAGAATAGAGCGCAAGAAGTTTCAGGTCAAATTTCTTCTTTTGGAGAGCAACTATGAGGGAGTAGACCACCGCAGTTGGTCTACTTCTGGGAACTCATAGGATTTTAGTAACTTTGGCTGCATGGATTCTGAGTAGAGGCGGTCTTCGAAGGCAGTGTCTCGACAAAATTTCACTCTCCGAGTTTTCACTTTTCTGAAACTTCGCCGTGCTGAAGCCACATCCGGACTTTTCAGCGCTTGAAAACGACAAAAATGAGCTTTTATCGAAACTCTCCGTGCCGCGGTAGCTCCAATATAGTGTAAGTGAGCGGGGTGCAGAAGACTTCCGGAGCGGATTTTGGGCTTTTCAGACGCGCTTATTCGTTTTAGACTTCAATCTTCATCGATAGATTAGTTGGGTATATCTGCCACTGCAACATTGTAATATCCGAGTACCAGTGGCGTACCCAGGATTTCGGCTCGGGGGGGGGGGACAAAAATTCTTTTCTAAAGAAGGCGCGTGGCGTTAGCCACGCACTCCGAAAAATTTTTTGGGGTGCTTCTCAAAATTTTTGCGTTTCCCCGATCCCTAAAATCTGGAAAAAGGGGGTCCCATCATTTTGCTGGAACGCAGACTTTGAGCGGCATAAAGTTAGCAAAAATTCGTGCAAAAACGCCTATGAAGATTTTTTACCGGCTGCGTTTCTTCCTTGTTTCAGTCTACTGCCACAAAATTGATCCACCTTCAGAAGTTTATGTAAAGCTTTTCGATAATTTCATGCCATTTATTGACACTTTAAGACAATTTCGTTTGGGTACTCAAACCGCTAAAACAAAAGGCAGATTTGGAATCAGAGTTTGGAGCATCTAGTGAACATCTATTCTTAGTATGCCAGTGTAACTTTGTATACCACCTTTACTACTAGCTCTGTTTTCTCATCTCTGTTTTCTTATAAGGCATGCAGTGATTTGCGAAGTTAATGCGCGCTTTAAAAATTTTCTTATTGCCACATTGTACCAATCCCTGACTGGATGTATTAGAAATTAGGTTCATGATAGTGCAAGAAACGCGTTATTTCCGCAGTTTCCCTTACAAGCAGAATTACGTTTTGAAGTCTCTCACTATGTTATCTAATTCCGTATCATTGAATACTCGTTCTCCTGATGAGTGAAAAAATCTTATGTTTTGATCAAAATCAGTCCAAATGCAGTTATTACTCACGTTTTTACATCTAGTGTCCTCGCATTTGAGATCGCTGTAGTTCCTTTAGGATGTATTATCTTTACTTTCCAAATTGCCTTATACTCTGGCTCATCAAAACAAGGAACCATCTTTCGAGCACTTGTCGGCTCCATTTGTGTTACAGCTGCTATCCTAAATCACAAAGCTATGAATGTAACGTTCAAAAATTGCTTGATTTTTAACTATTCTAGAATCCACAAAGAGTGCAAAAGTTTCTCTTAACAGTCAACGCGGTTGTATTTGAGGAAGAACAAGAACCCTTGAAACCCAGTAATTCTTTGCTTTTCATGACTTCCATAGTATATCAGGGTATCGCAATCACGCACAACTTGTGGTTACAAAATGATTTGTTTAGCTCTGTCTGCTGCCAGCTGGCGTTTTGATAGACACATTACATGCAAAAAGAGAGCAACGTATCTCCTCCTATCCAAATCCTAGTCAATGTCGCTATGTCACTTATGACACGTGATCATGTGCCTGCAACACCCCCCCCCCCTCCTCCTCCTCCCTCCCCTCCTCGCATCGTTTTTGCCACAAAAAGCGGACAGTGTTTGTGTGCTGCGAAATTGGTGATGTCGCCTTCCGTAGTATTCCCTGTAATATAATCGAAAAATTAAATATCTGTCTTACTTTGTTTTTCTGTTGCGGTCCTGATAAAAATTTTGGTAAAGTCCATCTCTTCCTTCGTTTATTGGCGCAGAGTACGGGATCTGCAGTACAGTCACATTTTTGATCTTTTTTAGTACTATGTGCAGGCTTACAAGGGAAGCGTGTTTAGTCGAAGTGGCTTTTTCAGATGGGACTTAAACCGCTTTGAAAGTATTGCACCATGATTCCAAATCTGTTTTCCAAATCTGCCAAGCGCTTCTGAACGCCGAGTTATGATCGTTTTTAAGCGAAAAATGAATGCAGAATTTAGGTAAAATCGATTGTTACAATCTTGCCAGCGCTTAGATGAAACAATTCTAAATATTAGCTTATCACACAAACTGTATCCATTGCATAGACAACTCTGTTAATTGACACTGGACCATTTGAGCAAATTTGAGCGATTTTGTTCCAGTTTTGCGTTCAAATTTTTGGCCTGAAAAACGATCATAACTCGGCGTCCAGGGGAGTTTGGCAGATTTGGAAGGTAGAATTGGACTCATCTCTTGATGCTCTCTAAAGCAGTATGGGTTTCATATGAAAAGGCCATTTTGACTAAACACGCTTCCCTTGTTAGCAATATGCTGACCGTTTCTGATAGTGCAGTAAATGCTAAACTCCTTAAACTCTAATGTGATTATTCGTTGCACTTTTACTGCGTCATAATCCCAAAGGAAAAAATTATATTGTTTTTGACCCAATAAAGTTTCTCAGCACCGCGGAGGTTTGGTTGGGTTTTTTTTTTGATTCAAATCGATCTGGCAAAGGATACAAAATATTTGGCTGAAGCCTACAAAGACTGTTCTAGGTTCCATGCTTTATTGTTTTACTTTCCCGCAAAAATCTCCGTTTCTTCTTTTAATCGGCTTCTGCTTCGAATCCTTACTTCAGCGCTTCCCGGTGGATTTGTTTTCCAAACCTTACCATTGTGTACAACTTTTAATTTGGCTGTTGAGCCTTGGTGTCAAGAATTGCTTAACACTTTATTTGGACTAAAGCTTCGGAGAAGTCGTTCTTGAAAACCTGGAAAGGTCAGACGTTTACACATCTACAGTAGCAGCACTACTGAGTTACCAGGGAATCAAAACCAAACTGAAGAATACAACGACTTTGAAGCGTTAGCTCAGTTATATCAATCATTTCAAAGACTCAAAACAGAGTTGAAAGAGTTGATAATCATTGATAAGTTTTTGTCTTTCGTAAGGCAACACAATAAATCAGTAAAGTAGCCAGTAAATTGCCGCGAAAAGTAGCCCATGGAATCGGTCACAGTGCAGCGCAATTTGGATGCTGTGATCGCACATAATTCTTTATAAAGTTCGTGAGTTGTAACATTCACCGTGATCTATTCGCAAAAAGAGCAAAATACACCTCTCAATTCATCCTAGAAGACTTCCACAACGAGCGTATCAAGAAAATTACGATCCTAAGTTATTGTATCTATCTATACAAGTTGTATCTACCTATATATCAGAGGCGTGCCGAGAGGGGGGGGGGCATAGGAGAGAGGTGCCCCCTTTTTTGAAATTTCGGGGTTGTGATCCCGCAAAAATTTTAGGAAGCATACCAAAAATTTCTTCGGAGTGCGTGGCTGACGTCACGCGCCTTCATCAAAAAAAATCTTTTGTCCTCCCCCCCCCCTTTCCATAACGAAGATTCTGGGTACGCCACTGTTATATATCATGACTTATAATAAAACGCTAAGCGTCTTTCTGTCTGTGTGTATGTCTGTCTGTCACGAAATTCACAGAGTGAGTTGCAGTTAGCGTCTTGATCTAGAATTTTGGTCATAGCACCCAGTCAGCGTGTAGGTAAACTGTGCAAAACCACAAGCCGATCCAGTAAGTGAAACCATCGGAAACTCTGCGTCAAACGGATCCACGCGACTTTTGGCCTGCCAAAATGGGTCGGTAATTGGACTTTTTGCAAAGTCTTGATTTGTTTAGCAAGTGAATCCAAAAAACATTGACTTCAGCTCAAAAAAGTAAGCAAAAAGTCTATTTTTACACGAATTGGCGCGAAAAAGATGTAACTGAGCAAATTGTCGATTTGCCAAGTTTTTACTATGAAAAATGAGAGGATTTTTGAATAGATATGTATTTCACGGTGGTCTTTATCTTTATGGCGACTATAAAGCCAAAATAAATTCAGTAACCCATTCAAAATCGCATTTGTTTTTCTGCGGGAAAATTTTTTCTTTCGAAATTACCGATCTCACATGGAAAAGCTTTAAAAAAATGGTTGTTTACAGTTCATTCGTGAAGTTCAGCATCGCGCGGTGAGTTTCAAAGTCATTATTATGTGATCACGAAGAAGGCGTGGATAGTAAAGCCAGTGCGAACCTCTGCGAAGCAGACGTGACGCACTGGTCATGACTTATAGTAAGCCGCTTATTTGTCGGTCTGTAAGTCTGCCTGTTACGAAAATACAGTGAGGAATGATTTACAATACACTGCATCATGTAAGGTTCTGATAGCGAGTATGGTTCAATTTTAATTAGGAACTATCTCACCGCAGTGAACCTGGCAATAATCTAAAAGAAAGCCTTCGCATCGCGAGTTTATCATCGTTTCTTGATGGCCAGTGCGAGCCTCTGCGAAGCAAAGGTGAAGCACTGGTGTATATATAAGGACGTCTCAAAAGTGAATACACCGTCAAGCAAATGCACTTTTGAATCGTTGATAACTTTCCTTCCACAAAGCCTCCCGCTTAATGTTGAGAGTAACATTAATTTATTCATTGTTTGTATTGTCGTTGTTTAGTGATCTGATCTACTGGTTTTGTATTGACCTATGCGCGGGATCTAAGCGCTATATAAGGCGCTCACTGCTAGCTAAGTCATTCTTTTCGTCTTATCGTTTGTTCTTATTCATATCCGGTCTACTGATATATCGAGTCTACAAGTGTCCGAAACCCACCACAAGTGCAATTACAAGGCTACAACAAGTGGCCATCAGTACTGGACGACACGCGTGAGGAGCGATACAAACAAGTTGAACAAATATGTACTTCATCATCAACGACCAAGCCAAGCACTTCACTTGAGCAAATGTTCGCTCAGTTGATGCAGCACAGGAGCAAATGAAGACGAACCAGGAGGAAACTGCTGCCCCTGAAGTCGAATCAGGAGCAATCCGAGCGGATAGAACAACTCCTGAAACGGACCATTCAGTAGCTCCTACCTTGGTGGACTATTCACCGCTTTCGTCGCGACTGTCATGCTTCAGCTGCAATCTGAACAGGGGTGCACCCTCGACAGTGGCTGTAGCGGTTTGAAGAGATTGTTCCAGAGTCGATGCCAGAGAAGGAAACGCTGTATTCTCCTGTTCGCGAAGCTGGATAACGCCGTACACGCCAAGCTGAGAGGGCACTTGGCACCGAAGTCACTGTGGAAGAAGTGGAACTGTACGCGACTTGGCTCAACAAGATGCTAGTCGATGCGAAAGCGAAAGCAGACGAAATAAAGTGGGAGCCTTGAGTATTCCTGCGTTTCGTCACGGGTCGCCGGGCGATCTGCCAATTCGATCCTAATACTGAGCAAGCCGGACCTTGAGGCTGACAGCTACAGGCTGCAGGACCTTATTGCGGAATACAACGCGTACCAGTCCGTGTAGAAGGATGCTACCCTTATCGGATCTATAGCGCCTACGGCAGTCCAGGCTAAAGTTGTTGCTCCTATCAAAGAAGAAGCAACGTACCAAGCGCTCATCTGATAGCAAGGATTTGTCTGGATTGTCCCGACGTGACGACGTAGCTACACTTGTGGAAAAAAGGACATTGGGCCAAAAACTGCCCGTCAAAAACCGACCTGTCCGCCGTTCCATAGAGCAAGTTGTAAAGCTGAACGTGCTGAACTCCCAAAGGATACGTTAATGTCAAGCTGAAAGACTTGGATGTGAAGATGCAACTCGACACCGGTGCCGACGTATCGACAATCAGCCGCAGGACTTGGATGGAATTAGGATTGTCAAACCTGAAGACCCCGCCTGCTGATTTGAGAGCTGCATGCGGATCGTTGATCGAAGTATTTAGAGTTTATGAATGCTTTTCACATGTAATAATTTCAATGGCCAAGGGTTATTCTATGTTATCAAAAGAGTAGTATCACCCGTCGATTACTCGCAGTGGGCCTTTCATCGTTACCGTCAAGAAGACGAATGGAGTAGTGCGCTTTGTGCCGACTTCTTCACCAAACTGAACAACGCTTTGGAGCTGCACAGACACTTACTGCCCACTGCTAAACATGTTTTTACCAAGCTATATGGAGGGACCGATTTCACAAACACTGGCTTGCGTGATGCGTACTTGCAAGTAAAAATGGACGACGAGAGCAAGGAATTGCTGATCATCAACACTTCCCGTGGACTGTTCCTACAGCCCTCTACCGTTTGGGGTGAAGAGTGCCCCTGAGATTTTCCAGTATTTGATGAGCAACGTTACCATCGACATTAGTGGAGCCGTTGCCTATTCAGACAGTTGAAGGGATACCTCAGAAGGGCAAATGCTGGGGGTCTGCCACTTCATTGCTCCGCAGCCCTCCCATTTCACTTATTTTGGTGCTCCGGGGGCTCCTCCAAATCTGGCGCGCCCCCGGAGCAGAGATTTGCGAGCCCTCCCCCCCCCCCCCCTTTCCAAAATGGATGAAATGGGAGGGCTCCGGAGCACAAAGTGGCGGACCCCCGGCATTTGCCCTCCGGAAGTATCCCTTCGACTGTCTGAGTATTTAGACACGTTGTGGCCACTGGAAGGACTCATGGAGAGCATGAAACGAACGTGTTCAAACTGTTTAGACGTCTTCAAGGTTATCAAGCGCGCGTTCGCCGTAAAGTTTCCCTCTTCCAAGCCTAGCATAATGCTTCTTGGATTCATCGTCGACGCGGAAGGAAGACGCCCCGACTTCAAGAAGATTGTCGCCATTGCCCATATGCCGCTACCCAAAGATGTAAAGCAGCTCGAATCTTACCTTGGAATGCTTTAGTTTTATTCGTCCTTCGTGCTAAGGATGCGTTCAACGCCTTGAAGAAAAAAGACACACCGTTTGTCTGGAGTATGGAGTGCCAGGAAGTCTTCGACCGCCTTCGCAAAGTCCTGATCTCGGATCTTCTGCTGTGCCACTACGACCCCAAGAAGCCGTTCATTGTTGCCGCTGGCGTAAGCAACCATGGAATCAGAGCCGTGATTTCTCACCTGCCCGGATGGATCGGAAAACGTTTGTTATGCGAGTAGCACACTAACGGCACAGAGAAGAATTATTCTCAGATTAAGAAGGGGCCTCAGTTTTCGCCGTCAAGGATTTCCACTGGCACATTCATAAACGACGATTTACTCTGTTTACGCACAGTTCCCTACTCACTATCTTCGGGAGCAAGAAAGGACTGCCTGCTTATACCGTCTACACATGGTCAATGACCTTACTTGCCTATGTTTCGACATCGAGTACAGCTAAAGCTCTACGATCTTGTTTGAACATGCTGATGCTCTCTACCGATTGCTTTCCTGCCGGAGTCGCCGGACGAAGACGTCATCATTGCTACCGTTAAATCTGATGTCACCGCCACTTACGAGGAAGCGCTAATCAGCTGCTAGTTACAGTGGAAGACGTACGTTTTGTTATGGAAAAGGACGCCATACTGATGGAGCTGCTCAACTGTCTCCAAACAGGACGTTATGCACATGCACTTGAGGAACGCCGTTGTTCAACTGAAGGGTCCAACAAAAGAAGCTCTCTGCTTACAATAGATGCATATTCTTCGGATCCATCGTTCCCACCTCGTTGAAAAGGAAGATTCTCCGTATGCTGCACGATGACCATCCTGGACAAACTTGTATGAAGCTGCTAGCTAGCAATCACGTCTACTGGCCTGGTATAGAAGAAGACTAAGACAAGAAGACCGTTGAACGTTGCCAGAATTGCCAACTTGTCGCTA